TTATAATTAAACTTGATGATAAGGGAGTTACTAACTAGTGGGCTACACCTTTCAAATATCATGTTGTGTGGTCTTTAAAAGATTCCTTCAAACCTCTTATCAACGATTCATGGCATGGTAAAGATTGGATGGAAGGGACCTTTAGATTCACCAAACTTGCATCCAAATGGAACAAAAATAATACAAGTAGTATCACTACTAAAAAGAGGAGAATCTTGAAAAGACTTGAAGGGATAGATCAGAATAGAAACTCCAAAAATAATTACTTCCTTAAAAAACTTGAAAAATCCCTTTAGAAGAATTACAATAAAGTTCTCCTCCAAGAGGAATTGATCTGGTACTAGAGATTCAAATGCAAATGGTTGAAATGAGGTGATCAGAACACAAAATTTTTTCATGCCTTTACTATCATCTGAAGAAAAAGAAATCAAGTCTTATCTCTTAAAAATGATAATAACAACTGGATTCATGAACAAAACTCCCTCAAAAACTTGGTTGTTTCTTGCTTCGAAGACATTTTCAAAGAAGACAATTAGAGGAAACCTAAGCTCATTACTGATAGAACTTTCCCTCCACTATCCTATGCTCAACTACTTTCCTTCTGTCGAGAAGTTATTGATGAAATCAAGATAGTCGCGTTTGACATAGGAGCTTTCAAAGCCACCTATCCTGAAGGTTTTAATGCTAATTTCATCTACACCCACTGGGAAGATCTTAAGGACAACATTTTTAAATTGATTAAGATGGCTTTTAGGGATCCAAACACAATCATTGAGGTTAATGACACCTTCATTACACTTATGCTTAAATTGGATCACCTTACTTGCATGAAAGATTTTTGTTTGATATCTTTATGTAATGTGAGCTACAAAATTATCGCTAAAATCATTTCTAATCATCTCAAAGTGTGTATGAATCACCTTATTAGAGACAACCAATGTAGTTTCATTCAAGGAAGACAAAGTAGTGATAATATTACTATAGCTCAAGAAGTTATACATTCCATGAGAACTAAAACTAGGAAAAGAGGCTTTGTGGCTCTCAAATTGGATCTCGAAAATGCTTTTGATAGACTTTTCTAGCACTTCATCGATGATACTCTCCAAGCTATTGAAATAAATATCCATTTCAAGAAAATCATCATGGAGGCCGTCTTGTCTGCATGTCACATGAATTCAAGCCTACTCGAGGCATCAGATAGGGAGATCCTCTCTCTCCTTATCTTGTTATCCTTTGCATTGAACAATAAAGTCACTGCATTTTTATTAGGATAGATAAATGCATCTATTCTTTAAGTTGGAATCATTCAAAATTGTCTTCATGAATTTTGCAATGCCTCAAGACAAAAAATCAACAATGCTAAATCAAAACTCTATTGCTCCAAAAATTTCAACATTAATAAAGCCTTGCAACTCAACAATGAATTAGAATTTCCTCTTACTGAAAATTTTGACAAATATCTTGGGATTCTCATTCTTCATGAAAGAGCTTTTAAATTAACTTTTACTCCTCTTATTGAAAAGACTTGTTCTCGTTTGTCTTCATGGAAGAGTCATTATCTCAACATTGCTAGAAAATCTATTCTCACGAAGTCTGTGCTATCTTTCATTCCTAACTATATTATGCAAAATATGCTCCTCCCTGACAATGTACTTTCTGAATTAGATAAAAGTTCTAATACCTTTCTTTAGGACTCCTCGGATGGAACAAATAAACCTCACCTTCTTTCTTGGAACAATGTTATTAAGGAAAAAGAAAATGGCGGTCTTGGTTTCAAGAAAATCAAGAACCAAAATATTGTTTTCATCATGAAACTCTGTTGGGGTATTATTACTAAACCTAATTGTCTTTAGGTTTGAATCTTTCATGATAAATATAAATGTAATAAACCTACTATCCTACTAGTTTGCAAAACTAGTTCCTCCTCATACACTTGGAATAATATTTGTAAAGTTTAAGATACCTTAATATCCCATGTTGGCTGGCAAGTTGGTAAGGGAGATCAAATATCCTTCTGGTATAATATGTGGTTGCCTTTGCCTGAGCCTCTTGTTATGTATGCATTTCCTAAAGCTAAGGCCATTCTTTATGCCAGAGTATTAAATTTTCGCTTAGTTACGAGTGGATGGAATATCAAAAAATTAATCGTTACCTTCACTCGAATGTGGCTAAGTCTATTTTACTGGTTCAACCTCCCAACCCTTATGAAGAAAATGATATTCTTATTTAGAGACCTTCTGCTAATGGCAACTTCTCTATCAAGGCTACTTATAAAACTATTAAGAACTGTGGGGGGAAATACTAATTTCAAAATTTGGTCTACTATATGGAAATGGCCTACTTATGAAAAGATCAAGTTTTTTTTTGAAAAGCTACATGAGATTGTCTCCACACCAAATTTGTCAATATTGACAATGCGAATCCTTCCATAAGAGCTTGTCCCTTTGGTTGCAAGTCTCTTGACTCCTCCATTCACATTTTACGCAATTGCACTAAATTAAGGCAAGTATGGATGGAATTAGTAAAATTCTCAAAACTTAACACTTTCTTCTCTCTTTCCTTATAAGATTGGATTTTTGGAATGCAAAGAATAGCATTGGAGGCCCAAATACTAGAAGAACCCCTTGGAAACAACTATTTGCTCACATATGTTGGAACATTTAGAAAGATTGCTGCATTTATATATACTCAGAAGACCACATTCTTGAGAAGGATATCATTTCTCCAGCACCCAATACATAATCAATGACCGTTGTCTCTAAACTCAACTCAAAAATGTGCATTTTGACCATGATTGATCTCTTGCTAAATGGACTCCACCAAAACCTTGTTGAGTTAGGTTGGATGTTGATGGTTCAGTCTTCACCAATGGAGCTGCAACATGTGATGGCCTTATTTATGATGACCAAGTCAATTAGATAAAAGGCTTTACCAAATATCTTGGTTATCATCCTAGTACTATCACTGAGCTCTTGGCCATCCTTGAAGGTCTTTCTCTTTGTTGGAGATACAAATTTATCCACGTTAATGTTTACTCTGATTGCCTTAAAGCTTTGTCGCTTATTCAACATTACCACAACCCTAACCATCCTTTCAGTGAAACTATAAACAAAATGAGAGGCCTCGCCATATGAGGGATTGGGTTATTAACTTTAACCATGTGTTTGGAGAATCCAACTATTGTGTGAATTGGCTCGCTCGTTAAGCTTTGAACGACAATGTCGACATCTTGATTTTCAAATATCCTTCTCTGGAGTGTTACACTCTTATATGTCTTGATTTGACCTAATTTTGCATGGTTATCTGTGGCCTTGTATTAAAAAATAAAAAAAATAAAAATAAAGAGGAAGACCTATATGCTACATGACATATATAGTAACGTTGATTTCAAGAATGGATCTAGAAGTTGACATATGGGGTGCCAAAATTGAAATGTTACAAGAAAGTTGGGGTTAAAATTAATTTTTGCATGCTTTACAAATGAAAACTAATATAATCCAAAAGAAAGTTTGTAATATAAGGGGCAAGCACTCTTATGTGCCCCTCCTTGTATTTGTCTTGATTGATTTACATAAAAAGAATTGTTGGGTTCTCCACCTTTAATGAATCAAGCCCCAAATATAAGCCCACTCATGAAATAGAATCTTATCAGAATAATAAGAAAATTTAGGTATTTGTATGCAATAAACTTAGGCTCTTACTTGATTGATTTATGTAAAAAGAATTGTTGGATTATCCACTAGATTAGACTCAAATATAAGCTCACTTATGGAATAGGGTGGGTCTTGTCATAACAATGAGAAAATTTGGGTATTTATATGTGATAAATGCGGGCTCTTGAGCATCATTTTCTCTTTTCTTTTTGATTAAGGGAGGGAACCTTCAATAATCGTGCACACATGTTGCCTTGCTTCACGCATGAAGGCTATATAAGGGTGATCAGAACCATTTTTTGATTGATGCGTGTATCATTTTGAGTACTCCTTAGCTTGCTCTTCCTTTCTGTTTGTGTGATATTTGCTGTGAACCCAAATTGAGTTCACACAGTAACTCTGTTTCTACATAGAAACTAAACCAATGCAAGCATATCAGGTATATTTTCTTCCTCCTCTACTCACAAGAGCCAAGAGGCAAGAGAGAATGCATGACTTGGACCTATAATTCCCCAGATATTTGATTATTTTAAATCCCAATTCCTCTAGTTTTTATTTTTATTTTGAATGTGCACCTGGGATCTGGAGACTTTCAAACCATGGCTAATCTGGATCGAGCTAGGTTGGATCATAAAGATAGTACGCTTTCTGAAAAAATATTTAACACTATATATTTAGAGCTCAAACTCGAGACCTCTAATTAAGCTAGCATAGCTCCTAACAAATTTCTTTAGTTTTTAAATAAACAGTAGTTTGCAGACTTTCCCCACACAACTACCCAACCAAACAAGTATGAATATCCACAATAGAGATGGTAGAATGTGCATAAGTACTAGGAATTTTTTTTTGGGATAAAGTTTTAGACTTGGTCTTTTTAATATATAGATGACCAGAATAAACGGACTAGATACCAAACAGAGGTATGCCAACCCAGATCATTTGTTTGACTATTTCCAACTTTTGTAATAAATACCAAGATGCCTCCAGCTGCATAAATCCAAAGTGTTGAGAACCCAGAATTATTCAAAGATTGTAATAGTCACTTAATGAAGACCAGAACTTAGAAAAATTTAACTCACAGCCACTCCAACTTATCCATTATCATCCCCTTTGATCATTCCTGCATATTGCCCAGAACTTAATAAAATTTAACTCAGATCCAGAACTTTGCATAATATATAATGCTGTTATTTATTTTTCCAGTATTAAATAAAGCTTACAGAGGATGGCTTGGTAGAGAAATCGTACGGCACAATTCTCATAAACAGTTAAGAAAATATTGATCATTCCTGTATATTGCAGACCCAGGAATTCCCAGTAGATTGCTATTTTGTTGAAGGATAAAAAATTTCTCATGGACACACATAACCCTCTCACTTTAAGTAGAGAACATCTTCCCATGGGTGGCGATAGAGTGGTTGTTTCAGTCTCTTTTGGTCAAAAGTATGCCTGAAATGTCAATCAAAAACAATGATTGGGATGAAGCCTTGATCACTGTGTGTAACTGTACACTTTCAGTATCATGAAAATAAGCAGGGGAGAATTTGAAATTCTGAACTCAATTGATTCAAAGACGACGTGTACTCTAGAAGCGTATGATTTCAATTTTCAAGTTGGAAACTACCAAAACCATAGTTTTGGTAGTTTTCATCATGAAACTAAACATGCTCTAAATCATAACCAATGAATTATGAGCTTATATTTTTCAGCTCAGGAGCGTCTAGTCATCTCTCGTATTATTGGCAATGACCAATAATGATAATTGGTATATTTGACGAGGACATAAAGGATCAAAAAAGTCCAAAATTTCAAATAATGTGTCACTAGCCTCCTTACCTTACAGCATGGTCAAAAACACATCTGATTTTTACATGAATGGATTTTGCTTCAGTGTTGGCCATTGAAAATATAATCTACACGTAACTATCTAGCTTCTGTTTTCAATCAATTCCAAGGCAAAAACGGTAAAATTACAACAATAAAGATTGAACTTTAACTTACCCAATCAGACCAATGGAACGAGCTAGTACAAAGATTCCATTCAGATAGCCAATTTCCACAATTTCATCAATCTCTTGCTTGGTGAACATCCCATTACCACCAAGTAGATCCAAAAAGAGAGATCCAATTGCACCATCTATGTTAAGAATCAGGTTATTTGCCTTTGAGAGGGTGTAGGTTTCAACTTGAACAGCATATTCCATGTATTTCACAGAAGGAAAATGAGCGCGTGCAAAGTTCTGCAGAAGCTCAACTCTCTTATCTTTGTTGTCCCTATTCTTGACCCTTTTTCACAAAGAGGAACCAAGCTTCAGACATTTAAGTTTGGGTTAAAGACAATTTTCCCCCCTAATTTTTTTTTAAGAGTGCTAGGTACCTTATATTGAAGGATAGAACAATATCCCCCCAAAACAATTTTACTTAGGAGAGAATCACCCTTATTAAAGACCAATCATTTTTTTCGTTATCAGCCAACATAGAATAGTTGCGGGGCTCACATATAGTGACATTTTGACCCATTTTGACCATTTGATAGGAGCCAAAGAAGCTTGAAGTGGTAATGACAATGATAGGAACCAGGCTAGATTTGAGCGGCAAAACAGTGGCAAAATAGGTAAAAATTTCTTGCTATCACTCTACTTAGATCCCACAACTATTCCACGTCAATAAATAATAGAGAAGATGATAGGTCTTTGATGGAAAGACGATTTTGCTCCTAATAAAAATTATTTAGGGGGGATATTGTCTCACCTTTAGGTACAGGATGCCCAACGCTTCTAGAAAAAAGTTTTAGGAAAAAAATGATTTTTAACCCTTTTACTCCCAATAATATTAACACAGCAACTGAATGGATGTCAAATAAGGAACCAAAAAAAATATTGCATTACCTATGCCTAATTCCTGGCACACGAATGTGCTTCTTTTTCATGCCTTCAACAAAATCATAAGGTGTAAGACCCTGACATCACATAGCATAGAACCTCATGTAATAGTTTTAGGAGATCATGTTGGATAATCAAAGTTGAAGCATGCCAGGTTCACAAACAAAGCCTTTGAATCATACCCTATCATAAGCATCCTTGAAGTAGCGTGCAGTATCATCAATGGCACCGCCAAATCGAGGACCAATAGTGAGCAAACCTGTTTGAGAATTTGTTACTTATTGGATGGAAATTTGACCCCCAAAAAACAAAAAAAAAATCCTGCTCGATCTATCATTTTTAGCCAAAATTCAAAAGAAACATCAAATGCATGTAATTTACCTAATACAAGACTGGAAATAAGGTCCTTCCCAGCTCTTGCTGTCACTATTGTGTTGTGAGCACCAGAGGCACAAGGACCATGGTCAGCACACATCATGATGCAGATCTGACCAATGCAATGAATCAGCAAGATAGAAGCTAGAAGATGAAATCAACAATTTACTTTGGAAAGCAGTAACTATATGCAAAACTCGCAAGGAAGTATCTATACAATTTGTTGCACATACCAGTTTTCATACAAAAAGGGGGATCAAATTTTGACTATGTTTCCAAAAAAAACATAGCTTTGTTTAGCCTACCTCAATAAATTGTGTACAATAACGAGGAAGACTGCGTTTGAACCACAAAAGAGAGATAACATCACCCACACCATAACCCATTTCAATAATGGAAGACATGGGCACACCAGCATAGCATTGCACCTCTCCTATAGAAAATATTGGGTAAGAAATTTAGTTCAACCTTTGAGTCTGAGCAACAAACAACTCATTTCCAAGTTAAAGCATTATAGGAATCACAACATACCCCTTTCATCAGAGATTGTGGAAATAATATGAGTTGGAACACGGACTTTTCCACTCTTAATTGCAGAGTTAAGGTCCTCAGGGACCTGTGCAGGAGTAAACTCCTTCACTGGTGTGATCTTCCCTTCTCCAACCTAGCAAATATGATGCCCATTATAAGATTATAGCTACATGAGGAAACTAGAGACTTCTTTGGAGCATCACTCCCTACTCACATACTGATAAATAAAATCTCAAGCAACAAGCGAGCTAAACTAACCAATTTCTCAAACGTTTCCTTTATAGCGTCTTTGAAAGCTTCAAAAGAAGTGGTAACAACAGCTCCTGCTTCCCTTAATGCTCGATTCTTTGCTAGAGTAGACTCCATCTCTCCATCACTTTTAGCTCCCTAATTTATAGAAGTTCCACTAAATATTAGAAATGCTCTTTAATTGATACTTAGTCAAAGATAATGGATCAGTGACATGCAGTATGACCAAATTTTACTTCTGAGTTGAAGAGTTGCACACAGGCTTCATTGACCCAGGCCACAACTGGTTTGGTCACTTTCCCTTGTTTTAGTGATTCCACTAGGGAATATTCATCACGCCCACCAAGTTCTCCAAGTACAACAATCATTTTAACCTGTAGCTCAAACAAATCTACACTGATCATGGACAACAAAAAGAAATTCCATTGTATTCTAATCAGCTAGCCATTAGTTGTGGTTACAATATGTGCTATGCAATTCTCCAGGACAAAAAACAGTTTACCTGTGGAATGTTGTTAAATCTTAAGATATGATCAAAAAGTGTGGAACTGTGGGAAACATCCCCTCCAATGGCAATGCCTATAACAAAAGTACAGTCAACATAAGCATAAAGAAGTGCAAAAGGATAAAAAAAAAAAGAAAAGAAAATCCTCATTAGCACCTTCATAAATTCCATCAGTTACACGTGCAATTGTGCTGTATAATTCATTGGAGATCCCACCCTATAGTTCATTAAGGTTATGTTCTCTGAGAACCATCATATTTTACAGATTACACAATGCAAATAAATGTAGCTCAAGCTTAGTGCTAAATAACCAATCAAGCAACTTATTAAAATTTCCTGAGCCTATCATTCGTACAATAGCTGTGATCACCGTTAGTTAATCTTCTTTTAAAATAAAAGCAGAAAAACAGTTACGAATGCCATGGAGTTCAATTATCCAAGTAAACTACCATTTTGTGCTATTATGATGCACTGAATTTCTGTAGTGAAATTGATATTGTGCTTCTCCATTTAACTATCATGTCATAATCATTTCCATTCTGAAATCAACAATGACATTGAGTTCAATATTCACCATAGATCTGCAGGAATTTAGTCTCTATTTTGCAATATAACTGAATAGGACGAAAAAGTAAATTAAATTTTAGGATAAAGCTTATCAAATAACACTGACAAATATCTTCCAGCCTTTTAATGTCCTATTGTCTATACATCTAAGTCATTCAAATATCTTCAATGCAGCATCCAAGAAGCCAGTTAAATGATGAAGAAATCAAGTAAATGTCAAGAAACTAAAACTTAATTTTAATATTAAAATCACAGCAGTGGATCGTTGTGTTCAGCTTTAGTGCAGGTGTGGACAAACCAAGTATCACATCTAAAATTTAAGAGTGCACCTTTTCAAAAATCCAACAAATCTCAAATTTTCTTAACATAAAACAGGTGAGAATTGCAGGAAGATTCACAGGGAAAGTGGATAAGAACTTCACTGAGGCCTATTTAAGTGATAGAAAATCCACAAATGAAAATAAGAAAAATGAATAACTACAGACGGATTTAGAAACAAAGCCAATAGATCCAGGCCTGTACAGCTTGCATTGAATAATATTGTCAATTTTTCCAGCTGTGTCACCTATCTTAAAAGCACCAGCTTGAATGCCTCCAATAGGGGCAGGGCCAATAAAAACCTAGGACATCATCATGGCCAATAAAAAAAAAATTTTTCTCAGGTTAGTATCTTTAGCTATTTAGCTGAATTGATTGATATAAATTCCTTTTCTCCCCTCACCTTATTGTTTGCTTGTGCATATGCAATCAATTGCTTAGTGCCTGCCTCAGGAACACCTTCAGCAATAATGGAAACAACTCTAATAGTTGGTTGCTTCAAAGCGGCCATGGATGATGAAGCAGCACTGCAAGCAATAATTCGTTTTCATTGAACTACATAATTAAATTAGATCACCAAAAATAAATAATTGTGAGAATATTTTCAAAATGAATAAAATTGTATCCTATAAAGTCATGTCCTTATAAATTAAGGACCTTATATGAAAGGTTAAATGAGGGACACAACGCTAAAAGTCCCTGAGGTTATGTCCTTGTAATACCAAAAGACACGTTCAGAAGGTTATGAAACCAAAAGCTGTGATAACCACCACTTGGTGAAAGATTGTGTTATCTAAGTAAACCTTCGAACTAAAAAGATGTTACTCTTTATGAAGTAACCTTTGATGGATAGTATTGGTTCATGAAACGCTATGGCTCATATGGTTATATTTTCTTTATTGAAGAGTTATGTTACTTCAAAAGGCACCACTTCATTGTCTATGATTATTTCTTACCACCATTCAATTCACACATAAATCCAAACTCAGGTCAAATTATCACTTTACAAAAGCCATTATTGTTTTGGCTTGAGTATTGAGAGTGCAAACAATGCTCAAGAACCTTCGTCGTATCTTGAATTTTTTTCCCCCTATCAACCCAATTTGAAACCAAAGTTTGGAATAGATGGGAGCAAATTAAACCTAAATGGAAGTATTGCCCAAGTTTTGAAAACATTGTGCACAATATTCTTACTTATCTCTTCTTCTACTTTTCAAAGAATCATTGCCACCAACATAAATTAGTGAATTAATGAATTCTGACCTTCTAAATGATTCAAAATTGATGAAGACATTGGCAGTGGGATGTGCAGCACAAGCTGCTTCAATGCTGCAAAGCAAGAAAACTTAATGCTGAGAAATTATAACATGTGGACAGAAAAAAAAAAAAGTTAGTGACTTCAAATGATTGAATAAAACACCTACCTTGCATGCACTGGGATGGAAATTTCCTCCTGACCGAAAAAGAGCTTCTGGAATCCCTCTGAACCAGGATTGATTATTGCTGCAACTGATGGTGTTTCCCTTCCTATAACATCAAAACCAGATTTTTTTTTTTTTTCATTTCTATTGAAATTTGAAAGCAAACAATCATGTGATTATCCTATTAGATATTCTCCCATGAATCGATACAAACCACAAAGGAAATCAAAATCAAGCATGCTCTGGATTGGAAGTTGCTTGTAGTTGTAAAGCAAAGCTTGAGTTGAGCGAGAGAAGAGTTGTCCAGTTGCCATGATGATGAAGGAAACGAGAAATCTGAGGGCATAATGGTCTGTCAATTTCTAGATTACAGCAGAAACAACCTAGAAGAAGAATAACGGGACGCCACAGATTCATATAAACACAAAAACACAGTTCATACTGCATGGTAGATCAACTTGTACATGATTTTTTTTTTTTTAAAAAAATTAAGATAAAATTTTAAATTAAAAACATTTCCTTTATCAGTAATGGCCAACAGAGTTTAGCATCTTTCTCTCTGCTGAAACATTTGCTACCAACTCAAGTTAGTTAGGTTTTTGTCCCATGATTGAGTGTCAGATTTTCATGCCTATAGATGTAGTATACTTAGTTCAAAGGATTCACATTTTTATCTTAAGTAGCCGAAGAGATTAACATATGACATAGAAAAAATGAAGCATATTTTGTCTCTCACCAAAAATATCAATTATCACTTGACAAATAAATTCCAGAAATGAATAGTAATAAGCAGTGTGACCGTAAAATCTTTCCTTTGACAAAAAAAGGATAACAAAGGTCGTCAGAATTCAGATAAGAAAGTAAGGCCTCATTAACTTAGCAGATAAATACGCCAAGATCAAAGGGGAAGGGGAAAATAAACTATAATGATAAGAGTTGTATTTTTTTTTTAATAATTTTTTACCAGAGTGCTTTTTGTCCCTTCATATTTAAAATAATAAAATTAAGTCTTTATCTTTCAATTTTTTCTTTAATAATTAAATGTAATGGGCTACTGATTTGTGCCATTGAAGCATGACCAAATGAGCAATAAATGAGCCATGTTCTTGTGAACAAGATTAAAAATTTTTTTGCACGTAATTCTTTGTTTTGATATTATGATATTTTGTAATTTTTATTGGCAACATATATTATGATATTCTTTAATTTCAATACAATTAATATGCATATACTTTTATAATAATAACATAATAATTAAAATATGAAAGAATGTCAAATTTTTATGCTGATATTTAATTAATTCCTTTGTTGGAAAAACAAAATATATAACATAAAAATTGACAAAGAGAAATTGTATTATCGTAAGTCATGAAAATTGTAGTTTGTCTCAAGCTCTGTATAAAGTATTTTTTTTATAATTTTAATTCGGTGGGTTTTGACTCTTCATATTTAAATTAATAAAATCAAGTCTCTATCTTTCAATCTTTTTTTCTTTAATAATGAAATGGAATGGGTCATCAATTTGTGCCCTTAAAACATGACTTAATAAGCAACAAAGGAGCCATATTTTGTGTGAACAAGATTAAAAACATTTTGCACGTACTTCTTAGTTTTTATGTCAAGATATTCAGTATTTTTGTTGGCAAAATGTACGCTGACATTTTCAATTAATGTGTACGTGTACTTTTCTAATAATAATATAATGAGCGTGCGTGCGTTCAAACAATCAAGTGCATCATTTTCGATTAAACTGTAAATTTATCATACTTTAATCAGACAACTTCAAAATAAAAGAAATCATCTACTCTTACCCTAACATAAATTAATAATGTTATGGAATGTGTTCCTCACTTGTGTGCCACATTTTAATATGCTTTACAGCCATCGATTTGTTTTGGGAAAATCATTTCATTGCAAATTTGTATGAAACGACATCAAATTTTTCACAAAATTATTCACAGGCTAACATTTAACTTAAAATTAGTTATCTCATTAAGATGTTTGCACGCTATTATTATTGTTTCAGCTCCAGATGAGCACCTTCAGATTTTGACTGGAATGAAAATTCAGTTTCCAGCATGGTAATTTTCTTTTAATCAACTTTTGTTTTAAAACGAAATCTGTTATAGTAGTATAGCACCTTGACATTAACCATCTTTACAAGTTTACAACCATTGCATGATCCATTGAAAAGGAAATATGATTTAGGGTCTTTTAAGGTAAAAACCTTTCTTGGTACACACACAGACAGACTAGGCCTATATAACATTTAGGTCCTGTCCTGTCATTCTTTTCTATATCTTTCTTCAATAAACCATTCAGTTGTTGTCAAGGATTGGCACTTTATTTTTGAGATAGTTTTGAATAAGAATTGGAAAGTATTAACGTACAATCATCTCAACATTCTCACAAAAATGATTTAAGTAGATTGGCTCGTAAATAACATATGAAGTTCCTACTTCTATCCTTCCATATCTGATGAACTGTTTCTCGAACTATAATTTCCACCTGAATATAGACACTTGAATATTCCCCTTGCATAATTGTACTAACCGGACACAACATACCTAATTCTGAGCCAAGGTTTTGGGCCATATTTTCAATCCTACATATAAACAGCCTCATGAACCGACCTGTGATCAACTTTATGCAGAACACTGAATCCTGGTGTGAGATATGATCATTGATCATTAACACTTAAAAGGTCCAACCAAAGCAAGAGCTTCTTTAAGAGCCAGCAAGAGATGATCTGGATGATCCTCAACACGAGCAGCTATACCATGCTGGGATTGCATGGCTCTCAGCGCTCTTCCTACAATCTGAACAAAGTTATTTACAGTCAGTTACTACTAGCCACATTTTACGTTAGCTGAATATCAGTGGAAATTGGGTTGGCCACAAAAAGAGTTCGAATTTTATAATTACATGGCATGCGTCGGGATTGAACAAATGTTTGAATCAAATGCCAAACTTAAGCGTATGTTTTACTAACCAACTTGGACTGATCCAGTTTCCTCCACTGAGTACATGAACAATTCTGGTCTTTAAATTGTCATAAAAGTCAATAATCAATAAAAAAAATGTAAAAAGTTGTACTGCTACTCATTTCAAGTTCTATGCAAATGCACAATATTCTCTGTTGTTTGGTTAAATCATTGACAGTTAGTGGATGCATGATTAAGTTCTTGAAAATAACATAGTTTTACTCAATTTGACATCTCTGCGTCACTTGATAAAGTGATTAATATATATGAGTTTGTTATTTTTAAGGATAACCTAGTTCACTATTCCAGAAACCAAATCCAAATGTGCAGATAAATTTAGGTGATACATAATTAGCTTAATCAATTGAAAATAAAAAATGGATGATAAAATATTAGGCGAACACTGTGAATGACCAACCTTACGTGCGTAGCCCCCATAAGCTACACCCCCAATTAAAGCATGGGATGAATCAGCTGAACAGGTTCTTGAGGTTGCATAATCTGAATTCTCCAGGAAAAATGAGGAAAACAAATGAATGGTAATGATACAGCAAAAGAGAGAAGCAGAAGAAAATGAGAAGGCCAAACAAATGACATTATTACCGGCAACAGCAGTTGTTTGGAAAAGTCCCTCTTTCTTCAACCCATCTATCGTGTGAGCATTAGTTCCACCAGCCAGTTGAAGGAAGCCTACCATTTAGATACAGTTAAACATTGAAAGAATCTTTAGAAGTTATACGTGAAGGAATAGACTTAAATAAAATTCCTTTGGTGTTTAATGTTAAGTTCCCTAGTAATGTCATGCAGAGTTATAAAAAGAAATTAATTTGTCACGTTTTTTATTGGTGATCACGGTAGCAAACACAACTATTGCCAGGTTTTCTGCACAAATAAATCAGCATGTTTTCATGGACCACACTCAATTTTCATACAAACCAGGAGGTCTGTCTCTTGCATTTGCCATTTGTACAGCAAAGGCAATAGTCTCCTTAGTTGCTCCTCTCCCAATATCGCCACTCATGGGACGGCCATCCAACTTGGGTTTATATAGAGAAAAGAAGGGTTTATTAAAAGGAAAAGAGAAATTGAAATAAACTTCGGCTTATGATAATAAATAAAGTCGTAAATACTAAATTTGTGTTTTTGACACAGCTAAATAAAGGCATACCTGCCATAAGTTGAAGCTTTGAAGATTGGGTTTCATGATAGAAAATATTTCATTCATCAAGGATATTGTTGAATCCCCACCATTTGGTAAGCTAACCTAGAAACCCAGAGGCTAAAAGATTATTTAAAAGCATTGCTTGTAGTCATCAAATATTAGAAAGGTTGGAGGTTATACTTGCCGCTATTAGCTTCAAATATCTTACTGAATCTCCCAGAGCAGTCCATAGTTCTCTGAAGAGATTAGTCCGCCTGTAGAAGAGTCATAAATAAGAAGAACAAATATGATTAGTTTAACTTGAATTCTGAAACATAAAAATGACATTTTGAAATTTGAAGTCTCTTCTACATGGAGAAATTATGCTTCACTGTTCTTGTAAAGAATCATTTCAACCCAAAAGTTTTAGTAATTATGTGAAGACCAATAATGATTTTATCGTAATCTCTAACAAGTCACAACAAAGTGCATTGGACTTTAGGTTTGGATAAAAGCACTGGCTGACAAGTCTATCCTATCTCAGGCTAAAACTTTAATTAAGAGGCTGGGGGCCAACAATGACGGAATCTTTGTATATAAAGGGCTCTGGTATCATGTCAAAAACCACTCCAACTCAAAAGTTTAGCCTATTAAATTATTTAGCAAAGGACTATAAATGTTTTACCATTATCTCTCGCATAGCCAAACCCTCCTGCTTCGAAAAATGAACATAGAGAGAAAGGCCAGTGTTTAGGAAATGATTACATTCCATGCATAAAAAAATTGAGACAGTGTACTTATTAACTTGCTAGTAAAAGTTTCAAGAAAGTCATCATGAAAATTATCACCCTCATGATTAAAAACAGCTTCCTGTAAAATTTAATATTCTCAACTTGATGGGCAAAATTACCTCCCACTTGTATGTATCTCTATAGCATCAACATCATCTCTCTTCATGAGATCAGCAGTTGTAGTAGCGTCTCTTATATATGTTACCTCTCCTGGATCAAAGTAACAAATGGATAATGTGAAGATATGGGGAAAAAAAGCATGGCAGTTATAAGGAATCTCGCCTGAAATGAATGAATAATGAAGTTACAAGCTTAAAATCTTAAATGGAGGAAGAAGTTCCCACTTATTTTATCATAGGGGCAAACTGGAAAGCAGCGACCACAGCCATAGCAGCGTTCAGTTATAACTCCATCCTGCATGTTTGTGACAATTCAAACTTTTAGAACCTTTGACCTCCCCGGGGGCGGGGAAGAGATAAACTTGTCTGTATAGAATTAAATGATGAGATTTTCCGTAAGGAAAGACCTTTAGTACTCTCGGTATTTGAGTTTCATAAGAACTTCCTATTGTTGAATTCTCCTGGAATGATATTGCATTAGCAGGGCACACATTTACACAGGGCCTTGAGCAGTCTGCTGGACAGTCATCTGGATCAAATTCTGCAGAGAAGGGATTGCGGACATCTTTAATAAATTGCTAACAAGTGATAGATCAACTATGCATTGATACTTTTACTTAAGCTGAATGCATTTTGTGGCTCCGTTTTCATTTGAGAAAATCTTTTAATATAGAATTCATAAAATATGACAATGCTCTCATAAATAATGGCATGTGATATTTTATCAATATAATATGTACTCACGGATCTAATGCCACAGTTATGGATAGAAATGAGAAATTCAAGTTTACATTCAGAAATCATTCTGCTTGAAGATAAATGTTGGAATGAAGAATAGCCTTCCTCTGCATACTTTATAAGTAGACAAATTCAGCTAGGGAATTGTCATCACCACTCTAAAATTGAATCTCAAAGACTTTTAGGGAGAATTACATACAAGTCTCACTCAAGATAATTAATTACTCCTAGGTCCATTGACAACTGAGCTGTTATTAAGTCCATTGACAATTGTGCTGTCATTCTCCTAAGCTCAATTGTCAACTGACCTGGGAGTAATTAATTGTCTTGAGTGAGACCTTAAAGTAATTCTCCCAAAATTTTATTTCAAAGTTATTTGGGTCATGATCTACTTCAAATAGTGCACACAATCATATTTGAAAAGTTTTTTGTTGAATATTCATCATTGGTTGCCTGATTCAGATACCAAATGTCCTTAAATCTATAGTAATATGCAAAAAGAGAATCATAATCTATAACCGTGAATGTAGATTGTTTAACATCATTATAATCTTTGTCATATATAATTGAGATTGAACTTCCAACACAGGAATTATGGATGAAACTATAATAAAATAATGATATGGTGGATTACATGCTTCATTAGGACACAAGAGTTATTCAGGTACGGAAAATGTTAGAACACTTAAACGTCGCATAGATGTTTCAAAGATATCTGACCTAATCTGAAGTTCATATATACTGCTGCAAATAAATTCCCTACCGGCCTTACGAAAGTGAAGATCTTTATCATCATTGACACTAATCATCAGCCATGGTCTTCGAAGGTTTATAATGTCTTTTGCTATCTCAATTCCTTCATTCACTGCATTGACCACGGATGCATCAGCAGCACAGTCAATGCAGTCAACTGCAACCATATAATTCAAATAAATTAAATTCATATTCCTCATTGAGATCCACATATGGATAATGGTGAAAAGTAAAGCACAGTGGATATTAATAGACATCCTAATCATTCTAGCATTTAAAATCTTATATAGCATATAGTATGAGATATATATTCAAAAATCTAAAACGCCAAAAACAAATGTACTAATTTAAAGCATCTGTTTTTCAAATGCCTCATAAATATATCTTTAAGAAGCCCTTTGGCCTATTGGTATCTCATACTCCTTGGCATCTTAAATATCATATTATAGAATAGAACACCAAAGTATATGATACTGTGATATTTGATAGTTATAGTTAAAGTACTAGAAAATTATCATAGAAAGGATATAATAAAGCAAAAAATGATGTGTATTGAGCGCTCTATGATTTTTAGATGGTGTGAGATAAGATGTCACCTAACATGGTGTCATATCCTATAGTGACGCATTGACAGTGACCCATGACAACTTAAATACCCAGTTTACCATCCATAGAGAGGTAATCTCTGACCAGGCCATAGTCAATATTTAGTTATGACTTATGAGGAGGGAGATTGAAAAACACATATAGTTAACACCAACATAGTTCTAAGAAAAAAGAAAAAGAAAACTTACGGTGCACCATTCCACCCTCCCTCTGTATCGCCGCTAACATTTATGACAGCGTACCAATACCATTTGAACTATGACAGCGTACCAATAACATTTAGAGAGGTAACCTCTGACCAGGCCATAGTCAATATTTAGTTATGACTTATGAGGAGGGAGATTGAAAAACACATATAGTTAACACCAACATAGTTCTAAGGAAAAAAAAATGAAAACTCACAGCGTACCATTCCCCCCTCCCTCTGTATCGCCGCTAACATTTATGACAGCGTACCAATACCCTTTGTCCTCTATATATTTTACAAATGGAGATTAACGTATAACAAACGCTAATTCCACGAAGAAGATGAAACATCAGTATGTTCTATTACTTCCCCCAAAATAAACTATAAATATCTTACCTCCAGCAAGAGTGTAAACCAGACTGAGGTTCCTGATATCAACAACATCCTAAAAAGAAGGTTAGGTTTTAACAAATGGAGACTAAAAAGTAAGAGTTAGGGTATGGGAAACACGGGGAATCATTAAATTGAGTTTTAGTTTCACACCTCAAAGCTCGCTCCACAAATGAGCTTGACCCAGTTGCCTTTCTGGAGAGCTTCGAGTGGAGAAGATGTAATAGAACGAAGCCCAGCATTATTCACAATGCTTTTGACATTGTTAACACATTTCTTGCTTCTCGAATCCACTTTCGCTGAAATACCATAATACACAATGCCGTTAGAGAGAGGAAGAGGGGGAAAAAGAAGAGAGACGAAGAACAACCTTGAGGCGTAGTTAAAATTTGTGTATTGCAGGAGATTCTCAGAGCCATCCTGGCGTAGAGGCTGAAGTTGCCACGTACGAACAAAGTAGAGAACTTTTTTTAATGAGGATAAGAAATCATTTTTATAAAATATAAAAAAAGATAATAATACTCCGCAATAAAGTTATAAAGTTACTTTACAATATCATGAATCTGAACGTAAATTCCAATAAAGAGTGTCCACGTGTCAGAAAAATCTGCTTTTCGGATGAAGTCTCAGCCAGTTAAGTCTTGTGGCCACGTGGTTAAATTTAGACCAGCGACTCTTATTTTGCACAATTACTCCACTACCCTTCCCACACTTCTTTTCTATGGTATGGGCATGATTCCTATTTTATTGGCTTGGACTTTTTGTTGAATGAATAAGTTTTTTTTTTTTTTACAAAAAAAACAAACATGTTTGAGTTATTCCCATTTGGCCTTTTATTCTTCTAATCATATGACGTTTAATATTAAAAAAATGATTTAGACTCATGTGTTGTTAAATTCAATATGAAAAGCAAACTTCTCAATATAAAATTTTATCTATATCCCAAATAAAAAAACACAAATAAATAATTTGTCAATTTTAATTACAACTTTCTATTATTTGAGTATCATGTAATTAACGTTGTGCTTATCCATCTGATATTATAACTTTGCTCATATATTTATTCGATTAATTTTTTTATCAAATTTTTTTAATTTCAATTAAATTGTAATGAACACAAGGTAATTGAATAGAGGTGATAAATAGTAAACAAATTTTTAAACATATATCCAAACTAATAATAATTGAGGGGAAGGGCTAAAAAGTAATTGTACAGGGTCATCTTCCTCTTCCACATCCCGCCTCACATTTTCAGTGCATGTAAAATCGAAACAGTTTGTTCAGAAATGAACTCCTTCCTTCTTTCTTCTTCATCCTCTTCCTCTTCCACTTCCTGCTCTTCCAACTTCACAATCTTCACTCAGTCTCAAAACCCTAACCATCTCTTCAAGTTCAGATTCAAATTACCCATTTTGCCCTCACACTCCTCACCTTCGCACCATATCGCCGTGAATCCACAATGTTCTCTCAGGGACTCATCATCCACCACAGTGCTCGAGAAAAAGCCCGTTTCTACCCAAACGTTGGACGACGTCGTGTCCAGAGAAGCGGATTCCGGCAATACTGTCTCGGCGGAGGATAGTGTGCTGGTAGTTCGCCGGCCGGTGAAGGAGTTTTCCGGCGAAGAAGAGAAGCAGCAGGTGGAGGATTCCGACTCAAAAACTTTGGCGATCGATGCCGGACTTAAGGAGTTTGCCAAGAAGATGCCGATGTTTGAGCCGGTGAGGGTCGAATCTGAAACTAAAGAGAAGCCGCTTGTTGTGAATTTGGACTTGGCGTTATACCGTGCGAAGGTTTTGGCGAGGAATTTCCAGTATGAAGAAGCTGAAGCAATGCTTGAGAAGGTACTTCCCCCTCCTCATCCCTGTGATCTGACGACACAAACTAACAAACTGTATTTAAGTTCTGTCCCCGGGAGTTATTTGTCAATTTGGTGGACTGTTGCTGACTTTTGATTTTCCCCCCCCTAATCTGGGGAAAAAAAGTGTATAGAATATTGGCCTGAAGATGGTCGACCTTATGTGGCACTGGGCAAAATTTTGAGCAAGCAATCGAAAACTGCTCGGGCAAGAGAAATATACGAGAAGGGTTGCCAGACAACTCAAGGAGAAAATGCTTACATTTGGCAGGTTAGCCTTAAATTATGTTTTTCGCATTGTGATCATGAGTATAATTGTTTTTGGTTTGGATTTATGGCCAAAATAGAATTAGGAATTACGAGGGTTCAGCTTCGGCTTAAGCTCAAATTTACATTCAATCAAATAAGTGACGTCTATCATGTAAGGGCAAGTAGTGCTTTGAATTCATGAACTAAGCTAGAGCCTGGCCCTTGTGTATTTGCATATAAATATGAGTGTACCGAAATATATTTTTTTAAGGAAAAATTTCCCCGAGCAAATTGGACAGCGATCTATGAATTTTTTTGTTTTTTTGTTTTTTTTGCGCACTTCGTCAGAATGGCCAAATTTTTCTCTTTTGTTTTATTAACCATATCCAGTTTACGGACTGAAGAATATTGTGAGACATAATATAAGGAAATGTAAAGAATGAGAATAAACAAATAAATTATATAGTTGGGCTAGTCTAGGCCCAACCTACTAGTTAGGGCTTTAAGGTAAATTCATCTTTCCCAAATGTTAGGCCTGGGCCTTCACCTATCCTATCTCAAGAACACCCCTAATCTTGGGTCACATTTTCTTATGTAAATTTGGGACCTCTTGAAGCTTATGCCCTAAGAAATGTCTGTATTTGTTCTTTTTGGAATTTGACTTGATACTGCCCTTATTTGTGTCCTTGTAAAGAGTTTGGAATAAAAACAAAATTGAAGGTGGGATTTCAGAATTATGTGCATGCATTGAAGCGTTTGCTGTTCCTATGCAATAGTTCACGGCATCTAAGTAAATTAAGATGCATTTCTTTCTCAATGATTTTTCTCAGCATCAATGCTGACAATGAAAGTTCATGTTCCCTCGCATCTTCAAGAATATTGATGAGTTACTAGCCAAAGATTCATGGTCATGGCCATAGCTGAGTCTGGATTATTCTTATACAATAATTAATTGCATGTAGGAGCCATGCTTCTTTTCTTTTTCTTTGTCTTTTTCATTTTACCTAAAATTATGCGTTTTCTGAGGAATATTTATGCCTATAACTGATTCCTGGCATACCAATATCCTTCAAGATGATACTTAATATAACCTCACAGTGAGAGTAGTTCATCTGTTAACATAAGGACTGATTGCTGCTAGTACTATGATATGCTGAATTTACTTTATTTTATTTTATTTGAACTGAAGTTAACACTTGAAAAATTCTTAAAACAGTGCTGGGCTGTTCTTGAAAAGAAAATGGGTAATACCAGGAGAGCAAGGGAATTATTTGATGCTGCCACAGTTGCTGATAAGAGGCATGTTGCGGCTTGGCATGGATGGGCTGTTCTAGAGCTGAAGCAGGGAAATCTAAAGAAGGCAAGGAATCTACTAGCCAAAGGTCTTAAACATTGTGGTCCAAATGAGTACATATACCAAACGCTTGCGTTGCTTGAAGCTAGGGCAAACCGGTATCAGCAGGCTCGATATTTATTCAAGCAGGCCACTAAGTGTAATCCTAAAAGCTGTGCTAGTTGGCTTGTAAGTCTTGATTGATCTGTAAGTTTGTAATGGATTCTAAACGTATTATTCTTGCAATTCTATCTTAATGTTTTAATTCTTTTTGATTTAGGCTTGGGCACAATTGGAGATGCAACAGGAAAACAATCACGCTGCCAGGCAATTGTTTGAGGTGATATATGCTAGCTTGTTGTAATTGGAAGACTTATACACGTTAGGCATTTTCCTTTGCTAGTTGCATTGATTGATTTCTATCCTTATGTTCCTTTTTGTCTCGTCCAAATAACAGAATGCAGTAAATGCAAGTCCCAAAAATAGGTTTGCTTGGCATGTATGGGGCATTTTTGAAGCTAGTGTAGGCAACATTGACAAGGGAAGAAAGCTTCTAAAGATAGGCCATGCTCTAAATCCTAGGGATGCTGTTCTCCTTCAGTCTCTTGCATTATTAGAATACAAACACTCAACTGCAAATCTTGCTCGGGTGTTGTTCAGGAGAGCCTCCCAATTGGATCCAAAGCATCAGCCAGTCTGGATTGTAAGAAATATCTTCACAAAGATCTTTCCAACTTTGAAAATTTTGTTGCTTCAGTTTGACTTTTCTACATGGTCTGTTGGTTAATGAGCTTGCAATGGTGAATTCTGTCTGTCTTTTGCTCTCAAATTTCTTTCTTGCTGTGGGACCTACTAGGAGATCCAATAATTTTTTCAAGTGACTAATTAGTTCATTTATGACATAATTCAGCTAACACTATTTATTGTCTTCATTTAGGTTCATATTGAAGTTTTAAGCATTACATTAATTGAAAAGTTTGGGAATATGCAGGCTTGGGGTTGGATGGAGTGGAAGGAAGGAAACTTGAATACGGCTAGAGAATTATACCAAAAGGCTTTATCAATTGATTCAACCAGTGAAAGCGCTGCCCGGTGTCTGCAGGTAATAAGTGACTTTTGATGTGGCTACTTCTTGTTAGTTAATTGGTAGAGGTCTACTCTTTGCCCTCAATGCCTCGGGAAGTTTAGTCTCTGTTGCCAGTGGAGAACACTCCTAGTGTCTCACCCCTAAAGGCCAAAAAAAAAAAAAAAAACCCCAAAAAGAAAAGGCTTCTCATGGCTAGTGCCTTCCAATGCAGGCTTGGGGTGTTCTGGAGCAGAGGGCTGGTAATCTGTCAGCTGCTCGCAGATTATTTAGATCCTCATTAAGTATAAATTCCCAGAGTTTTGTCACATGGATGACTTGGGCATCATTGGAGGAACAGCAAGGAAATTCTATTCGTGCTGAGGAGATTCGTGATCTCTATTTTCAGCAGGTAACTTCCCGGATGAATTTTAAAGTATACATGGTCCACAATAATTGATAAAAAGTTAACAGAAGAATTTTTTTTCAACTGTATTATCTATTGCTTAATCTGAAGTGGACCTGATTATCTCATCACTTTGATTTTGAATTATTTACCCAGATCTATGGAGCACAAAAATAGGAGAAACTTAAAATACACGAGTTAATAATTTTCTAATATTGAATTCCTTCTCATTGATGTGACTTCCTATAGAAATGAGCTACCAAGTTTACTTGTACTGTTTTTCCCATTTTGAATCTATTTTTAAATTTTAAATGCAGTATGTTTCATGTCACAATTCTATATCGGTTGTAAGACATAAGTATTGACCAATGATCCAAACTCAATTTAGATAACTTTTTGCATTTCATTTTTTCACAATTTCTAATAAATAATTTGAAGGCCAAAATGTCTTGAACTGACATATGCTAATTCAAATTGCTGAATTTAGATAACATTCTTAGCTGATAATAAATTTACATATTTGAGATCTTCGGTTATTTTGATAAATTAAACTTTCAGTTCTTCAATTCTTTAAATGTTTTTGCCCTCGGAGCATCTTTCTTGTTTGTCATTTCTTAGTGATGCAGTTTATTGATCTTTCATTTTCTTCATTTACGTGCTCTTTTTTTCTTTTCTTTTTTTAATAACTTTTGAACTATCCTACATTAAAAATATTTTAACTTGCAAGCTAGACAGTTATTCCCCTTTTTGCCAACGCAAACCATATAATTGGTGCAACGTGATAGCAAGCAACTTAAGTTGGCCAAAAAAGAAAAAGATCGTGTGCAAATTAAAAATATGCCTGTTTCAATTTTATTTTGTGTATTATATAGGATTTTATCATGCATATGAGCTCCCTAGAAATTGATACTTGCAATTTAGATTTTCTACAATATTGCTCACTACCTAATGAATGCTCTTTCTACACCTTAGATCCATTACAGAAGCTTTTCATTGTGCTTTTTTAAGGTTAAAAATTCATTAACGAGTAGGATTACCTGGAGAAGCAAGAACCTGAGAAAAACAAACAAGGAAATTCGCAACAACTAATGCATCCAAATTCAACTAGTTAAACCTAGATGTAAGATTCAATATATTAGACGATCAATGGTATTAACTCTTAATTCAGCTCTGCTGCTTGACCTTTTACGAAAATGATACTTGATGTAAGACCCTTTGCAATATTTATGAAAGATTCGTGATTTTTTGGGATAGTTTGGGATGTGCCTTGATTGGAAGTATACTTCGCTACACCCACTATCTAATGACTTTAATAGAAGGTAATTTTGAAATGTTTTGACAACAAACTTTTTATCCATTTATCACATGATTCTCGTCATACTAATAAAGAACCTTATGACTGACATTTTTCTATGCCATGATTCAATCATCATATTTGCTTCGTACTGTGTATATTAAGAAAAGTGAAAAAAGGAGCAAAAAATTAAAATATCATAGTAGTTTTTCTCTGCTCAACTCAATCAGAAGGGCTAACTTTTTTGAAACACATTTCATCTCATGCAACAGCGAACTGAAGTTGTTGATGATGCTTCGTGGGTTATGGGGTTCTTAGACATTATAGACCCTGCCATTGACAGTTTGAAGAGGCTCCTAAAAGTGGACCAGAATTTGTACAGACTAAATGATAACAATGCTGATTCAGAGTCGACTACCCCATCTCCTAGCTCCATTGACGGTAATGATGTGGATAGTGAAAGTGGTTTCAATGTAGATGCTTTTGTTATGGACAGGTTATCCCTAGATACTTCCAAACTCGATGATCTGTTGGAAACACCTAGAAATTCTTTCTCCAAGAGAAGCTTGTCTCCAAGAAGAATATGGAGATCATCGGACAACAGGCTGTCAAAGTCTAGCATCACAGCATAGTGTATTATAGTTTAGGATTGGCTTTGAGCAACACAGATTTGTGTCATGTGAAACAGGCCGTAGAATTGTACATGTCTGTCTTCCGGTTAAAACAGAGCATCCTAAGAAACAGCTTGTAAAGATACCAAAGAATCATTGTCACCGAGATTCTTGTATTCAAGTATTCCAACATGAAAAATAGTTATAATAAAGCAGTTACAGAGCTATGGATTTGGTTCTCATGCCTGTTATTCTAGAGGCATGATTTAGCAATAAATAGGATAGGCTTGTAATTTATTTCTTGATGATTGTATTTTGGATGGACTCTTGATGTTTGATTGTGAACCATAAAAGTCAGCCAAAATATTATAGTATGGAAATATTGGTCAACTTACCCCGGTTAAATTATTAAACTGTTAAATCAGTATTTTAACTGGTTTAATATAATTGTTGGTTTATACTAGTTCGATCACTTCAATTATAGTTTTGATCATTAGTTTTTAAATCAATGTCTTGACTAGTTTAACAACCAGCTCAGTTTTTAGTACCTTGCATACTACAGACTAGATTTTGATTTTATTTATTGGGACCCATGAGACTATCACACATTGGGGAGATCCTGATCATAGGAATATATCTGTTTAGGAATAGAAGGAAGACGCTTATGAGTCATGATGTATTGCTTGGTGATTGTATTTTGGATGGACTCTTTGATGTTAAAGCCAAAAATGCAGCCAAGATATAAAACTGATATTATTTAGTGGGATCCGTGACATTATTACATGCGGGGGAAATATGTATATTGTTTTTTCTTTTTCCTTTTTGAAGACAGAAGTTTGTCTAACGTTACTATAAATTTTAAGGAAGCATTAGTATAACCCTACTATTTTTACTTGCGTTCCGTCAGGAATATCTGTTGAGCCCCTGGGCCATTTTTTGATACATGTGCCAAAGATTTGATTTGAAGTATATGAGAAAGGAACTTGATTAAAAAATAAAAGAAGAGAATTATACACAAGTCTATCAAAACACATTTAAATATCACAATACTCGTTTATAATAAGTTATCGTTTTCATTTATTATGTTGTAAATAGACGTTATAGTATTTAAATGTGGTACAAGGGACCTTAAAATAATTCTCCTCAAGAAAAATAGTTATTAACACTTATGTTAATCAATAGTGATGTCGTATTTTTGAAATAAGGAGGGATGTTTTAAAACTAATTTTATTTGATTTTTCAATCTCCTGAACAGAATAACCACCCCCACACAGAGATCCAAAGTGTGAAGAAAAATTAAAAGAATCAAATATATTAGGTCAACTTGACTAAAATTTCATATTGCATTTTCAATAGATACAACACTATCAATTAAAATATGAAATCTATATTAAATCATGCGCTATTTGAGTTATGACTAATGCAACTATTTTCTCATACATAAGACAAATATGGGGAAAAAAATACAATCATTACCAAACAAACAGAATCAAAATATTAATCACGTTATTATAAGTTTTAACCCTAAAACTCTCTGGGATCCACAAACACATTCCCAATCTCTCCCTTCATGAGCAGTTCATCATTTTGGTCACTGTGACCTGAAAGTCTCTTGATGCACCAAAGATCATCAATACATGACAGAGAAGCATTACGAGGAACAAAGTTTATGAGAGAATCACCCAACCCTAACTCAGTCATAATCACTTTGCATCCCTTCATGCTCTCTCCCAACCTTGAAGTGAACCTGCAAATAGATTCCATGAGCTCTCCAAGATTCTCTCCTCCATGGAGACCATAAATGAAGAGAAACCCAAAAGGCCTGGACAGTGAAGAACCACTCAATAACATTCTCAGACAAGGGAAGATATTCTCTCCTGCATGATTCAGAGTATCATGCAGAAGCCTAAGTGGAGGATGAAGATGATGATTTCTGTGTTGAAGATCATAATTTGCTTCAGTCATTAGCATCATTCCATATGCTGAACATGATTCAATTAGAGCTTGGACTTCTTCCATTGAACCAACCTTCACCTTTGTAGTAACAAACCCAAGTTCCTAGGCTTAGCTTCTCGTTCAAAATAGATTCCATGTCAGTGGGAAACATGTCTTTGGTCTTGAAGCTTTTTCTGTGCAGAGAAACTGCGTGTTCTATCTGCAACTTGTCTATTTTGATGTCCCTCACTGAGATATGTTTTGGTAGTGGAGAAGAACTTGTGGGTTGAACAAAGATGACTAGTGAGCTTAGGTTGAAATAGTTGCATTTCTTTGTGAATAGGTTGCTTCATTTTTCTTCTCAGTTGCTAGTATTGTGTACTCAACTCCATTTCTCACCATCCATTCTTCAACTGATCTGATGAGTTGTAGTCCAATCCCTTCTCTCCTGAACGAGAGAGAATTTTTTTCAACTTTCACTGTAACATTATATAATAATCTCCACTGCAGAATTCAATTTCAGAACTTTATATTTCATTGAGGTGATATTTCCTAAATATTTCAACCCTCCTAAATATTGCATTGAGGTGATAATTCCATAACACACAAAGAGAGAGTTGTGCTTTAAAAATCGTTTAATGGGAAAAAAATATCCTTGACCCAACAAAAAAAATGAAATTTTTATTTTATTAATTAGACAAATCTTGATACATGTCATCATAACAAAAAAATATAGCTTGATGACAAAAAAACGGTTTAACCATTCTATCCTCTCCTGCCCAATGTCTAGTCAGGTAGCTTGATCCAATGACTATGGCTATATTTGTTTTAACATTTTCAACTCTAAAACTTATCTTTCCTCAAACGCAACAAAAAACATGTTTGTTAATGTCCTTGTAGCCTAGTGGCATGTAAACTCTTGTAAGGGGGAAAGTTGCACGTTCAATTTCACTTGCAATCTCTCAAACCATTAATGCCTACCCTTATAATTCAAGAAATAAAAAATAAAAATAAAAATTTTACTTTTGGAAAAACGGTCATTTTATGGCACCAAAACTGAATAACAAGCATGCTAAATGTTGTCCATTATACATATGTTATTAGTTAAATCAAGCCACTTGACTAGATGTTGAATAAAAGAGTACAACATAGTTTTTAACCCAAAAAAAAATCAAATAAAGTACAACAGCAAAAAAAAAAAAAGTGAATATTACCTAGAAGGAGGAGAAACTCTAAGTCCTAGTATAGAACCCATCTTCAAGATTGAAGCAGAATGAGTAGTCACACTCTTAATGCATCCCCTTACCACTCCCACAAGCTCTCCATTTTCAAGCAGTTCAGCAACCAGTATGCATGTCATTGTCAAACAAATTAAATACAAATATATTGTTCAAATTATAAACCCATATGTGAGTGTGCGTGCGTGTCTGCATGTGTGCGTGTAACTTAGTCGGTAACGTACCAACATAACATGAAGAGGATAAAACCTAATCCTTGATAAAGGGTGAGCTGTCATAGTCATGTTGGTGAAATAGAGACTCTCCTTTTGGTGACAATATTCTGAATTTCAAGATTCTTCTCAAGCTTCCCCACTTGTTTAATTTAGTATCTCTTTCTTTATCAAACTCTCTTATCACAACCTTTCTCTCTGCTAATATGCTCTTTTTCTTTCCTACTCATCTCTTGCCTCTTCCTACTGCACCCTTACATAGACACACACGTACACACACTTGTGATGTGTGGTTGTGTGTCTCTAATTACAATGTATGATTTTGATACAGACATATGGTGAAGGATTGAGTGGATTTGTGATATTTTTCTTCCCTTCCTGTTTTGTCAGTGTTCATATTAGTGTGTTGTGTGGTTGTCCCTCCCACAGTACCATTTCAATGTCATCTTTTCTTATTTCTTCCCCTTATTGTTGTTCAAGTGTTCACATTGATGAGTTTGTTGAAATTAAGAATGGAATCTAGGAAGACATCTTCATATATACTCAAATTAGTCCTTAACTTTTTTAAAGAATTTCTTGATTCTTAATATGAATATAATTCTAATTTAATATTTATACATAATTTCTTGAATGTTGTGTTTCTCTCTCTTATAGGAGCAAAGTTGAAATATTTTTTTAAATTTTATGACAAATTTAATGAATCAACTATTTGTCACGAGTCCCACATCGAGAAGCCTCATAAGTATTGTAAGGTTTATAAGTGTGAGGGATCCTCTCACCCAATATGCTATTCTTCTTTACTTTTGATAAAGTAATTTAAAATGACTTATAATAAAATCAGGAAGGAATATTTGTTATTGTAATAAGCATGATTTATTAGGAAATGGAAGAGATTTCATTTGACATTAATTACTAAACTTATTTATGTATCTCCTTTTAAAGTCATAGCTAAAAAAAAAAAAACGCAGAGAGGGAGAGCATTCAACAAATCGCTTTGGGCATGATGCTTGCTCAAGCCCCGACAATATTATTTTTGATTACACAATTATATAATTTAATTCATACTTAATCGGACACATGGAAAGGACTATGATTTTCTTATAAAGATCCTGTTACTGCTTCTTCTTCTTCTTTTGCCCTTACTTCTAATCCATGTATCTAATTAATTTACAACAAGCAGATGTTGTTTACAAGTCATGAACAATGTGATTTACTGTATAGAACTATATATAAAATATGGATCGCATTATTTAGCTTTATAATATCTAATGATATGATATCCTACTATCTCGTTTTTTGGAATTTTATTCGTGTAGAGTTAAAACATAATGACCATAAAACTTTTGGCTTTTTAAAATTGTCTTAATTATAAATTTCGTCTTTAGAATTTAAAATTGGATAAAACTTAGCTACTTAATCTTGTATGCTTACTGTACTTTTATCTAATTAAATTAAGATGAAGATTTTAAGGTGTTAAGAATGTTAATAATAAAATTTTATTATAAAATAAATAATCTACAAATGATACGCATATTTGATTTAATTGGAGAAAAGTGCCTGTTAAATATACTCTTATTGGATTTTACTCAAATCAAATATAAATTTAAAATTAACAGTGCAAGTTTGGTGTATATATTTTCATGGTTGAACTAGACAAATATTTTTTAACTATTAAAATATTTCACTAAAACTAGATTATGAGTCCTTACTTTTTATAAGATTTAAGGTAAGCCAAATTCCTGTGATTAATGAAAAAACATTTTTTAAAAAATATTTTATTTTATATGCTGATATACACGAAGTTGTCCTGCAATAGTGAGTAATTAATAGCCTTACAAAAATTATCCTTATGACCCTTGAATTTGTTGATTTCTTTTCTTGTTTGCTAATAGTATATCACTTCAAGATGTGAGTGAGAAGGGAGAGAAGCACATCGAAAATAGAATCTCCATGTCTTTATCGAATATTCTCCCATAAACAAAATGCTGGAGAAAATATTTTGATTGCTATTCAATTTTTTTATTCCATCACCCAATATTTTAAAAACTTGAAGATATTACCACCATTCATTCAAACTAATACAAACTCTTCATTGTGTAGGATCGTTATTACCAACAGCAACCTCACAGTAATGGACAAAAAAGAATATTTTTATTGCTATATATATATATATATATATGCAAGTTAGAAGGGTTTCTAATAATATTAATGAACAAAAAAGAGATTTTTTTCCTCACAATGTAGGTTATGGTTGAAGGGTTTATGAACAATTAATATCACATGTGATGTATAGAAGGGTGTTTTTTAGAAAAGAAATTAGAGATGCACATAGAAAAAATAGGATAAGTGTATTTCTCATTTCATTTCTTAAAAAAAAAAAAACAACTTTCTACTAACCAAATATTTATGAGTGTAGTTTGAAAATATGCATCTACATTCTCTTCTATCCTTTCTCTTCAGTATTATTCAAACAATAATTATTCAAGATATTAGTATTTTTTGTTAAATTTTATTTTGATAGATTGAAACTTAAAAGGGTGGTTTTGCAAATTACTCCCTCCGTTCAAAAATATAAAATATTTTTAACTAAATTTCACTCCTATAAAGTAGTTACATACTTTTTAACTAACTCTTTCTTTTCATATTTACCCATATTAAATACCCTACAATAACTATAAAGTCATTCATTAATAGAGGCATTTTTTAAAAAAAATAATGATTACACCTTAAAAAATTAAAAATACCTTATATTTTTAAATAAAAAAAACATTATAATAACTACTAATAGTGGGTTAGAATGGGAGAGGAAGAATATATATTACGTTAGAATCCAAACTTGCATGTAAGAAATATTGAGGTCTCACATTGAATAAGAGTAAAAGAAATTATGTTATTGTATATAAACAAGAAATTATGTTATTATTAGTATTTATGAATATATGAAAAGTGTAGTTAAATTTATATTTTATATTGAATATATAGCACTTGATATAAAACTCAAATGAAGGACAGAGATTTTTCTAGCCTTTTCTTTTACCAAAAATCATTGAGCCCATGATAGCTTCTTCTAGCCTTTTTTTTTTACCCATGCATCTAAAAGTTATTTTTTATTATAACAATAGAATTATGCCCTCAACCCTCTAATTGGAAGAAGGGTTCAAGCTCTTAAACTCAATTTTTTATAAAATAATCAATTTTTAAAATTTGATCCTTATTTGAAAGTTTAAAGTTGGGCTCGTAAGCTCTTTTTAAATTTAAAAATAAAAATTTAATAAAATAAATAAATACAAATATAAATATAGAATCTTAATCAAGTTTTGAAATGAAAATAAAAATTTTCAATTCAAATCAACCATATTAAATCTGATAAATACAAAAATTTATGTATCATAAAGTACAATATTAATCAAAATTAAGAAATAAACCTTGCAAAGTAATCATGTTTACAAAATTAATAAAAAATTTATCAATATCGTGTTAAAACAAATGGCAAAGGAATCAATATTAATTATTTTAACAACATAATACTGGAAAAATGATCAATTTTTTGGGAAATAGGGCTTAAATGGCAAAGGAACCAATATCAATTATTTTTAAGTTTTATCAAGGCTAGACCTAGAAGCCTAATTTTTCA